AGAGAGAGAGAGACCTGGAGAGATGGCTCAGTGGTTAAGAACATACACTGCTCTTCCAGAGGTCCTGAGTTCAACTCTCAACACCCATGTTATGTAGATCACAACTCTAGCTCCAGGACCTCTGATGTCTCTGGCCTCTTCAGGACCTGCACACATGCATCCGCACATAGGCACACGATTAGAAATAATAAAAAGAAATCTTTAGCAAAACAACGAAAAAGCCCACAACTCTTTATACCGAGCTTGGCAGAAGCTGCAAAGCCCATGACCTGAGTTCAAGCCCTGGAGCCCAGGGTGGAAGGGCCAACTCCTGAAAGCTGTCCTCCAATCTCAACATGCATATACTCTGTGTGTGTGTGTGTGAGAGAGAGAGAGAGAGAGAGCGAGAGAGAGAGCGAGAGCGAGAGCGAGAGAGAGAGAGAGAGAGAGAGAGAGAGAGAGACTATGTCATGTATCTATTCCATATAAAGGTAGAAAGAGAACCAACTTCACAAGGTTATTCTCTGACCTACACATGCACACACTACACATAAAAATATAATTTTTTAAAAAAAGACCAGGGTTGGTGGTGTATACCTTTAATCTCACCATTTGGGAGGCAGAGGCAGTGGGATTTCTGTAAGAGTTCCAGGCCAGTCAGGGCAACATAGTGAGATCATTTATTAAAGCCGCGTGTGTACCACAGGGTGCATGGGGAGGTCAGACCACAGCTCTCAGGAGTTGGCTTTCCACTTCCACCACATGGGTCTGGGGCACTGAACTCGGGTCTTCAGGCTTGGTGGCAAGTGCCTTCACCCAGGAAGACAGTCTGTGGCTCTCTGCCTTATTTTTTTGAGAATATGTCTCACTGAAGTTGGAACTTGCTAATTGGGCTAGACCTGCAGCTCAGCAAGCCCTTGAAATCTTCCTCTCAGCCTTCCCAAAGCTGGGATTCAGGCACATGCTGCCACACCCAGCTGTGTGTGTGTTTTGGGGGGCCCATGTGGAGGTCAGAGTTCAGCCTTCAGTTGTCAGCCCTTACCTCTCTACTTCTCAGGCAGGACTGCTCTGCTTCTTCATAAACCAGGCTAGTTGGCTCTGGAGCCTTTGGCGAGTTTCCTGTTCCCACCTCCCATTTCCTGAAGGTTCCCAAATGCTCTTACAGGAGTGTGGGGATCTGAACTCAGGTCCTCACAGGCTGTACGGACTGAGCCGTCTCCCAGGCGCCCCCCCTTCCTCTTTCCCTCCTTTTTTCTGCATTCCTTCCTTCCCTTGGTTTCTGCTGTGTCTCTCAGGTTGCCTTAGCCTCCCAAATACTGGGATTACCGCTGTGAGCCATCCTGCTCAGCATAAGACATTCCCAATGGTGCTGACTAGTTTTTTGTGAACTTGACACAAGCTAGAGTCATCTGAGAGGAGGGAACCTGGGTTGAGAAAACGCCTCCATTAGATGGGGCTGTGAGCAAGCCTGTAGAGCATATTCTTAATTAGTGATCGGTGGAGAGAACCCAGCCCATGGTGGGTGTCCTGGGTTCTACAAGAAAGCAGGCTGAGCAAGCCATGAGGAGCAAGTCAGTAAGCAGCACCCCTCCATGGCCTCTGCATCCGCTCCTGCCTCCAGGTTCTTTCTCAGTTCCTGCCCTCTGGGTTCCTGAGTTCCGACTTCCTTCACTGGTGGACTATGGTGTGTACGTGTAAGCCAAATAGACATTTCCTCCCCAACTTGCTTTTGGTTGTGGTGTTTCATGGCAGGCAATAGTCACCCGAACTAAGATACCTAGCATCAGGAAATTATTAGAAAATGTCGCTGCTGCTGCTGCAGAGGGAACCTCCTCCACTTTGGTGTCTGGTGTCGGTTTAGTCTTCGTTTGCCCTCTGTGGGAGAGATGACTAACCCCGAGAGTCTAAAAAGAAACAAAACCTCATTTCTTAGGTCTCTTCTCCCCTTCCCCACTTCCTACAAGGCTGCAGCATCAGAATTCTCATTCTCCGGCTCTTCAGTCGTTCCATTTCACAGACAAGGTGGGCGACTGAGGACCGGATCAACAGTCAGGGTTGGTCGCCCGAGGCTTCCATTCCAAATAGGGTCATTCCCCTCGCGTTTTCTAAGGGCAGCCAGGAAGAGCCCAGAAGGAGTATTCTGAGACCCAGAACTTGGGAAAGTTGACAAAGAAAATGTAAGATCCAGACCAGCACCGCCCAGCAACCGCCTGCCTGGGTAGAGGGACCCGTACTGACCCGGGACAAGCCCTGCAGCCCGGCTCACTCCGAACTCGGTCATTAGCGAAGCGGCTCTGCATGACGTCACTCCACGGGCGCTCCAATCCCACGTGGGAGGAGCAGTTGCTCCCGCCCCTCTAGGTGGGACGCCCCGCCCCGCCCTCCCTACGGCCAGTCACAGACGGCCTTTTGGTTTCTTTCCTCCTCCTTTTCCCGCCACCCAGCCCTCCCACCTTGACCCGCTGGTCCAATCACCGAGGTCCTGACACCCCAAGCCCTCCAGCTTCCCCGGTCTGCGCGGCGCGAACCAACCCCAGCGGGCAGGGGCGTGGCGTGGCCGGCGGTCCCCGGGAGCACTATATATCCCGGGTGGGGAGGAGCTGGACCAGACACGGAGCTGCAGGCAGAGTCCTCCCGGAGGCTGCCCTCCCATGGAGCGCTCCCCTGAAGAAGAGGACGCCGGGCCCGCGGGGCAGCCCCCGGCCGCCGCCGACCCCGCGGGGGACCCGGGCTCCGGGGTCCCACCTGCTGGCCCGGGCGCAGCGAGCGAGGCCCTGGCGGTGCTGAGTTCCTTCGGGCGGCGCTTGTTGGTGCTGGTGCCCGTGTACCTGGCGGGGGCGGCGGGTCTCAGCGTGGGTTTCGTGCTCTTCGGCCTCGCGCTCTACCTGGGCTGGCGCCGGGTCCGCGACGGGAAGGAGCGGAGCCTGCGGGCAGCGCGGCAGCTGCTGGAGGACGAGGAGCGGATCACCGCGAAGACGCTCTACATGAGCGACCGGGAATTACCTGCCTGGGTGAGTTGCCACCACTTCAGCCCTTGGTGCAGTCAGTGTAGCTCTTCCTAGTCCTTCTGCTCGGGCTCTCCCTGCCCCTGGAGTCAGCGACCCGGACCCGGGACCCGGGGGCCCCCAGACTCTGCCCCCGTCCGGTCCCGTTAGCGCTGGCTTGCCCGGGGCGCGCCACTCCTGGACCGCCCGCCCGCCCACACTCTCCGCCCACCCTTGCCGCAGAGCGGATGCTTCCACGGAACCGGGACTTCTCCCTCGGTCTGCTCCGGCTCCCGCGGTCCATCGGAGCGGCCGCTCCCGGCCCCGGCCCCCTCCCGGCCGGCCGAGCGAGCGTGTGGAACGCGCCCCGTCCCCGACTCCTGGGGCCGCTCACGCCTCTGCCACGCCGCCTCTGGGGATCCCTCCGCCCCACCCCCGTGGCCGCCCAGAGGTTCCCTCGCCTTGGCGAGCTCTTTCAAGGCTTCCTATCGACTTCGGGGCAGGAGGGTGTCCCCGTTTCCTGCCGTGTTCCTAGGTGCCCGCCGGGACCCACCGAGCCCCGCCAGCATTGTTCAGCACCTGGAAATGACCCACCGCAGTCGCCTTCTGGTCTCGGGGCAGCCGGGCTGCAGGGCAGCTGCTGGGCCAAGGGGAGGGGGGCTGCTGGGAAGAGGGTGGTGAGGCTGCTGTAGTTCCCGCTGCGCTCTCTATTCGCACCCTGGGCGGCCCCACCCTTTTCCGGACTGTGGGCAGCCTTCGCCTGCCACCGGCTCAGCTGACCCAGGCCCCCTCGACTGCACCCCGGCTCCCGGGCTGAAACAGATGCCTCTCTCTGGCCTTGCTTGCTAAAGCTGAGCTCCTCCCCGGTACCCTCCCTGCCCTTCCCAGGAGAGGTGCCAGTTAGGTAGAGAGCGGCAGACACGGTTACACTCACCATGCATGCCCTGGAGAGAAAACGGAAGAGATGGTTCTGTCTACCCCATGCAGCAACTGTTACCCATACTCCTTCTCAGGGGGATTAACCCTCTCCCACCCCACCCCCACCCCCCATGCAGAGCACAGGTGTCCTTTCCCATAAAAGGAGTCACCCAGGAAGAGAGAGAAAGGGAGCGAGGAGAGAGAGAGACAGACTGGCCGGCCGGCCTCTGCGGAGGCTGGCGCAGGCTCTAGCGCACCAGGCCTAAGTAGCTCCTCCAGCCCCTCCCTAAGTTATCAAAGGGTCGGTTTCTTATTCACCTCCCTACACAAGAGCCCACGCCCACTCCCAAGGGAGCAAGGGAGGCTGGACAAAGGAACCAGGACTTCTTCGTCCCAGGATTCCCTAGAGCTCCGATTTGACAGGATCTCCTCCTGGAAGAATGTGTCCTTCTCTTAAGACTCCTCCCCCTCCTTTGCCCCAGAAACTGCCATTTCGCATCTCATCGATATCTGAAGCATCTACATATGCAGTCCTGCATCCTACCAGCTCCCCCTTGCTAAAGAAGCCTGTGTGCCCAAATTCTAAGGACAGAAGTCTCCTGCCGCCAGGGTTGCGTGCTTAAATCTGTATTAAAACCTTTTTCTTACTGGGCGTGGTGGCATATGTAATCCCAGCACTTGGGAGGCAGAGGCAGGTGGATCTCTGTGAGCTGGAGGCCAACCTGGTCTATATAGAGAGTTCCAGGACAGCCAGGGCTTCATCATGAGACCCTGTCTACAAACAAAAGAAAACAACTTTGTGCTGTCTTTCTTTTTTTAAAATAAGATACATAGCCTCATATAGCCCAGGCTAGGTCTGAACTCCAATCCTCCTGCCTCTACCTTCCAAGTGTTGGGAATATAGGTTTGTGTTCCTATGCCCAGCCAAAACCTCCTCTTAACAAACTCAAATTTTGCTTCAAGAGGAAGGAAGAGGAAAAAAAGAGGGAGGGAAGAAACCCCAGCCCAGCCAGCCCCTGGGTGTGAGGAGTCCCTGCCAGAGGGACATGCTCCTTCTCCTCCGTGTGCACCCCACTGGCCGCTTAGGAAGCATGTACAGCATGCTTATCCCTGACTCTGCCGGTCCTTGCTTCCAGGTCAGCTTCCCAGATGTGGAAAAGGTTGAATGGCTGAACAAGGTGAGGACTGTCTTGGTTTTGATCCCCCCCACCCCCAATTGAGGCCTTCCCACACTTCAGAGCCTAGTCCCCAAAGCTGCCCATGGGGCTGACTGCCCCAGAGGTGGCCTCAGAGTCCTGATCCTCGCAGCTCAGCATCACTCTTCAGAAAACAGCGATGTGCTGTCATGCCCAGGTAGAACTTGCCTTTAGACCGGTGGTTCTCAACCTTCCTAACGCTGAGACCCTTTAGTACAGCTCCTCATGCTGTGCTGACCCCCCAACCCTAAAATTATTTTCCTTGCTACTTCATAACTGTATTTTTGCTACCGTTATGAATGGTAATGTAAACATCTGTGCTTTCTGAGGGTCTTAGGAACCCCAGGGGTCGTGACCCACAGGTTGAGAACCACTGCTTTGGCGGGAAAGCAAGCTCTCCTCTGATCGTCCCCTTCCCTCCCAGATTGTGGCCCAGGTGTGGCCCTTCCTCGGCCAGTACATGGAGAAGCTCCTGGCTGAAACGGTGGCGCCAGCTGTCCGGGGCGCCAACCCGCATCTGCAAACATTCACGTTTACGCGAGTGGAGCTGGGTGAAAAGGTACGCCTGGGAGGAAGTGGGTAAGAGTTGGGAGCACCCCAAGGGTGGAGATGTTCCTCTTTCCTCCTGCCTCTTCTGAGATCTCCTCTCTCTTTAGCCCGTACGCATCATCGGAGTCAAGGTTCACCCTAGTCAGAGAAAAGATCAGATTCTCTTGGACTTGAACGTCAGGTAACTCGCCCCCTCCCCACTCGCTGTGGGTGGGTCGGGTCCGTCCTGGCCGCTTCCTGCGCCCCGCTCTCCTGCGCCCCGCTCTCCTGCGCCCCGCTCTCCGCTGAAGCCTGGCACTGACCTTGGCTCTCTTCCTCGCTGCCTCCTAGCTATGTAGGTGATGTGCAGATCGACGTGGAAGTGAAGAAGTATTTCTGCAAAGCAGGACTCAAGGGCATGCAGGTGGGCGGATGTCAGGGGCCCCATCGCAGAGTCTGCCCTGAGTTTCATGGGCTCCGGGAAGAGCTACCAAGGCTGGGGAAGTGGGGGAGGACACAGGGCCTCTTCCGGGGAAGACTTTGGTCTCCTTGCTCTTCTCTAGCTACACGGAGTCTTGCGGGTGATTCTCGAGCCGCTCACCGGGGACCTTCCTATCGTGGGGGCCGTGTCGATGTTCTTTATCAAACGCCCGGTAAGAGACGGGAGGCGGGCTGGTGGGGGTCGGGAGAGGCGGAGGTACAGGAGGTAGCTGTGGGGGTGGGAGGTGGGAGGCGGGCTGGCGGGGGTACAGGAGGTAGCTGTGGGGATTGAGGAGACTGACTGTATGCCCTAGGATCCGTCCCGACTCTTCTGCCCTTGTCTTCCAGACGCTGGACATCAACTGGACAGGGATGACCAATCTGCTGGACATCCCAGGACTTAGGTATTCGGCCCCTTTATCCCAGTCCGGGGCTGAGGGGTTCAGGGATGCAAAGCAGTGAAGCCTGTGCCTTCCAGACCTCACTGCAGTTGGGGAGGTTGGACATAAACTCCAGGGAAGTTTCAGAACCGGACTTTTAATTTTCTTCCGTGGAGGAACGTGCACTTTGGTAGGGAATGGAGACCCTCGAGCAGGGGGTAAAAAGAGCAAGCAAGGCTGGTGAGACCGCGCAGTGGGCAAAGGCGTTTGCTGCCAAGCCTGCTGGGTGCCGGATGGTTGTCCTCTGACCTCCACACGTAACCCTGTGGCACGCATGAGCACACGCGTGTGAAACAAATGTAATTGGAAAAAAGAAAAAAAGCTACTTCCTAAACTAAGCATGGCGGCATATACCTGTAATCAGTGCCAGCGTGGGCTACGTAACAAATCCTGACCCAGCCAGGGACATACAGGGAGACTTAAAAGATTGTAATCTCTCTCCGCAGTAGGAGACACAGCTGAGGTGTGTGTGTGTGGGGGGGGGGCTAGAACGTGAGGTCTTTTCTTTTCTACCCCCCTGTCAGCTCTCTCTCTGACACCATGATCATGGACTCCATCGCCGCTTTCCTCGTGTTACCCAATCGACTGTTGGTGCCCCTGGTACCCGACCTTCAGGATGTGGCCCAGCTGCGTTCCCCGCTACCCCGGGGCATTATTCGGATTCACCTCCTGGCCGCCCGAGGGCTGAGTTCCAAGGACAAGTACGTGAAAGGCCTGATTGAGGGCAAATCCGACCCCTACGCACTCG